GTGCGTGCGTGCGTGCAGGAGCAGTGGGTTTGGGGACGCAGCGAGGACGAGGCCCGTCAGAGAGCTGCTGTCAAATATGGATTGAAGCCAGATGCCGTCACATTGACTCGGGGTGACTCACCTCCCTCCTGACCTTTAACCTGCTGCTGTATCTACACATTGTTACCTTATTGTGTGAATGCCGTGAGGCGTTCACACTATTGTGTTCCTGTTTCTCTTTAAACTTTATTATTATTCTAGTTGCCAATTTTTTGCCGCTTAACTAGTCCCTCAGTTTTCAGCCGATTTTCACCATTCAAACTTTAAATTGTTCTGCTCTTTCTGCTGAAGCGTGATATATCTTTTGGTGTTCATAGCTTTTATACATTTTTTTAGATATTAAGCTTTTTGTACCCTTTTTTTTGGCCCATTTTGCTGGATGGGACCACATTATCAGTGTGATCACCAGTTTGGTTTGCCGGGCTGAGCCGTGTTTTAGCTCAGTGAGATGAGCAGCCGTTCTCAGAGCGGGAGGCCCGGGTTCGAATCCCGCTTATGACATAAGAAGCTTCAGTTAACACTTCAACTTTTTAACTCTTTTCAACACAAATTTCAGCTTCTTCTTCTTTTCAGCAGACAGTTCTCCTTCTGCTGTTTTCAGATTCCACTACATGCCATTTACGCTGCATTTTTGCAGGAAATGCAACTTTTTCTAGTTATTTGTTGCTGTTGTTTTTTCTGTAAACCACTAATATGACTGCGCTACAGCCGGCTAAATGACGAGGACAAGGATTCGCTGATCTAATGAGACGGGTCTGAACATGTTCATGATTTTTACACACTGCTGTGTAAAAGTATTAGTTGCCTACTTGATTGTTTGGTAGTTTTGTAGGCTTTTTGGTGCATGTCTGTCACACGTTTCAGGTTGTGAAACAGGTTTTATGTCAGGCTAAGATAACCAGCAGGCTTCAGACTCCAAACGCCTGCTGCCACCCTCGCTGTAGGAACTTGAGTGTTGTGTTGCTAATGAGTCGTTCACACTGAGCCAACCTTCTTTGTAGAATTCTTTTAAGTCGGCTACATTGAGGGTGTTTTTGTGAGGCGACCCTTCCTGTTCTTGTCAGCAGTGGTTTCCTCCTCGAATTCTCCCATGGAGGCCATGTTTGCCTGCTCTCATTCAGGTTGTTGAATCGCGAGCTCTGACCTTAACTGAGACGACCGAGGTCTTCTTTTGATGTTCTAGCTTCTTCTGTGACCTCCCGGATGAGTCGTCGGTGCACTCTGAGTAATTTTGTCAGACTGGTCGCTCCTGTGAAGGTTCGCACTGCTTTCTCCACGTGTGGATGACTGATGGTAAATCCTCTGTACTTGTGTCGGAGTCACAGATGTCAGTGATTGGATCCCAGTGTGCTGGTTTTTGACATCTTCTGGCTTACTTCACTTTGTCTGCATTTCTTAGTTGAACAGCTGGGTTTGGATAGCTTTTTCTCATGTAATAAATTTAAAAACAGTCTTTTAAGTTTACTTATTTTTGTCTAATATAAAACTGTTTGATGATCTGAAACGTGTGACAAAAATGGTAATGGGTCCAGTTAGTGGTTTACTGAGCTGGACTGTTGATGTTGAGACAAAATAAAAGGATGTGAGGTGTGTCAGAATTCAGCTACATTGTTCCCTGTTTCAGACCCAGATGTCTTGGATACATGGTTTTCCTCTGCGCTCTTTCCCTTTGCCATGCTTGGCTGGCCAGATCAGGTACTGGACTTCCTCTGACTGAATGTAAAAAGAAGCAACCCTCATCCCTAACCCACCCACTCTTTCCACAGACCGCTGACCTGCAGCAGTTTTACCCTAACTCTGTCCTGGAGACGGGCAGTGACCTCATCTTTTTCTGGGTTGCCAGGATGGTGATGCTTGGAACAGAGCTGACCGGGCAGCTACCCTTTAAACAGGTTACTTATAATAATGAGAAAATGGACTACAGCCTCAGCATATCCTGTTATTTTATTTTTGTCTCTCATCCCGTTTCCTTCCTGTCTCTTAGGTCCTGTTTCATTCACTAGTGAGAGATAAATATGGCAGAAAAATGAGTAAATCTCTGGGAAATGTCATCGACCCCTTAGACGTTATACACGGAGTCTCTTTGGAGGTAATAAGGCCGTAATGACTGTCTGACATCCGTCCCACTCAGTGAAGAGCCCCGGCATCTTTAAACTAGTGTCAGAAACATCATGTTAGCGTCTGTTTTGTTGTTACGCTCTATTTTAAGGAAATGGTTACATTTATTCACTTTTTTGCTCTTTCTAGACGTCTTAAAGAAAAGCAGTTATTGATTTGTCTTCACTGCTACAGCGCGGTGTAGAGAGCTAACAACAGCTGGCGAAAGATTGCATTTTTATCTTGTCTCACAACCTCTGAGTTGCTGAGAAGATGCATAGCAGAGTTGTAAGCAGTACAGCCGTCACCGCGGCACAGCCGTCTGCTCTTCACCTTAAACGATGTGGTTTCCTCCGTCCTCTTAGAGACTTCAAGGAAAAGTGAAGGAGGGAAACCTGGATCCGAGGGAGCAGCTGGTTGCCATGGAAGCACAGGTCAGCCCCCCCCCTCCCGACTCGTTCTTTCTCTTTATTCCCACTCTTATCTGTCTGCTACATCTGCTTCCCCACAGAGGAAGGACTTCCCCGCGGGGATCCCAGAGTGTGGGACTGATGCTCTGCGCTTTGCCCTTTGCTCTCACAAAATGCAGGGTGAGTGAGTCCCTCCTCTGACAGGAAGCAATTTGTCAGAGCGAATGAATGTGGAAGACAGCGTCACGGGAAAGAAGATGTGATGCATATGTTCACTAGAGTTAAAAGTGACTGCATAACATATTATTGATCCCTGTTTCACATAAAAGCCAGCCGTCATTACAACACAGAAGGTTAAAACCATCTCGGGTATGGTTAGGAGATGTTATCAGGGTGATAACATCTCATCTTTCATCACAGTCAGAGGTTCCTAACTCGTAACTAACTGCTGGGGAGCAGAACAATCAAACGAGGGATCCATGTTAGACCGGTGGGCTGCTGCTTTGTCTTTTTACTGTGTGTAACGTTTTCACTTTTGCCTGTTGTCAGGAGAAGACCTCAGTCTGTCTGTCGCTCAGGTTCTGAGCTGCAGACACTTCTGTAATAAGATGTGGCAGACCTTAAGGTTCACATTGGGAGTGCTGAGTGAGAACGGAGCAACACTGGAAACTATAGCAAAGGTACAGCAAGAACGATGTCAGACGATTTGGAGCGCTTCTTCTTACCTTATAGACTTGTTGTTGTTTGAAAAAGGCTAAGCTTATCTGACAGGATGTGTGTGTGTGGTGTTTGTTTTTTGAAGGACTGAGCCTACATATCAAAGAGTATGAGCACTGAGCTGTGTTGAATGTAACACAAGTGTAAAAAGAGAGGAAAGTGTTTTTGTACAAAGGCTGTCAGAGGTTCTCTATAGCAAGCGAAAGAAGTTTGTCCCTTATAAACACGGCATTTTCTTTCTGAGAGCGACAGGAATATTTAAAGTTTACACGCCGTCCACCTCTGCACTCAGGGAAAAGAACAGTTTGTGTCACTGAGCAGGAACCTGATATGTCCAAGAACAACTGCAGAGGCCCGGCTGGAGTCCCGGGCGTCTCCACGGTCCTGTCAAAACATAGAAGCAGACTAATACAACAACACTGGCTGCCCCGCACAGAGTGATCAGGTCAGCTGACCAGTTACCATGGAGCTCTCTGACTCCATTATCTATCCGCTGATCCTAAAAGATCTTTTTTTTTTTTCCGTTGAGTCGGACCCAAGCTGGAGGAAACTCGTTGTTCTTCACAACACAGGGACTAAACATGCACACCAAGAGAAATGCCCCAGGTTAAAATGAACTACAGTTCTTCTCAAATACCAAAATGCATCATGACAGCTTTGTTTTAACGGCGTGGACACTGAGGCTACGTCCACTGAGGCTACGTCCACTGAGGCTACGTCCACTGAGGCTACGTCCACACTGATGCGTTTGAAAACTCAGTTTTCTCTACGGTTTGGCCTCCCGTCCACATGGCGCAGTGTGGACACTAGAAAACGATGACGCATGTTGGTCATGTGATGCAGTCATGTGACCAATTAAACAAAGATAGCGGAGGGCATTATACAGCAGTTGTTTTGATTGCTCTCAATTTTGACAGCCCTAAAAAAAGATGAATATCAGATAATTTTCTTCAAATTCTTTAGTTCTCACTCGTTTTTGCGCAGGACTGCACGTAAGCGTTTTGGGCCGTTTCAATGTGGACACACAACTGTGAAAACGCTAGTTGGACGCAGAGTGTTTTCAGACGAAAACGCCGTTTTCAAATCTACCCGGGCCAGTGTGGACGTAGTCTGAGCATGACACGCTGACTCCCCACTCCCACTTTACAAACAGCTGTGCCGTCTCTCAGAGGTTTGAGGTGTGGGAAATCTTGTCTGTTTGTGCCCGTTTCACACACTGTTTGACAGCGTGGAGGAAAAGACATCTGAAAAATGTTTACTTTTATCATCTTCTTCTAATCTGGCATCATAAACTTGACTGTGTACACTGGAAGCGCCTCGTTCACAGTGTTTGCCTCTGCAGACAGCTCCTCTGAGCAGCATGGACCGCTGGATCTGCTCCAGACTACACAGCACGGTTGGGCAGTGTGAGCAGGCCTTTGAAGCTTATGAGCTCCACAGCGTCACGTCTGCCCTGTACTCCTTCTGGGTCCACAGCCTGTGTGATATTTACATGGTGAGGAGCACAACTGTCCCAGGACATGCGTAGACTTTGATCATCCCAACAGACCAGATAAGAGGGTTTCCTTTGTATCTCCACTGATCTTCTTACTGCTCTGTCTAAAAAAAAAGAGAAGGTGATATATTTATCTGGTTTCTCCATGGAAACGTGGAGGCTCAAAGCTTAATGCAAAGAGATTAACTTAATTAAGACTAAAGTGTTAGCGCTAAGCCAGCAGTTAGCCCAGCACTGAATGAGCTGCTGTCACTTTGCTCTGTGTGTATTTGCAGGAGTATATAAAGCCTCTGCTGACCCAGCAGGACCAGGAAGTCGTCCTCACAACCGACGCAGAGCACAGTGGTGACGCGAGGCAGGCGGCCATCGCCGTTCTCTATCACTGTGTGTCTGTGTCCTTGGCCCTGCTCTCCCCCTTCATGCCGTTCATCACTGAGGAGCTGTGGCAGAGACTTCAGCCGTTTGCACCCGAAGCTGCTGCACAAACCAGCCTGTGTTTACAGCCGTACCCCCGCTCCGCTCAGTTGGTAGGGCTTTCTGAGGTTTTCAAGTGTTTGTAGCCCCCCAGGAAAGCACCTTCTTGTCTTAAATAACGCTAAAAAAAACCCTGCTAATGTGCATTGATATCTGGATTTGGGAAAATTCCAAATTTCTACCAATCTCAAGTTATTCCAGTCAAAGTAAACCAAGTACAAGCTTGGCAGAAACCTCTCCTGTCAGAGATGACGAGCAGAGACGGATCCAAACATGTTCAGGCAAACTTGAGACACTAAAACTCACAGCAAGCAGAAGGAAACACAACGCGACTGTTGTTGCTTATTAGGTGAGCTTCACCCAGAGACATTTACTGTAATTATACTGTAATTCAAGAGTTTAATAATATTTCAGTGACAGATATCACTGGAGAAGCAGATAATATTGATCACACTGCCCAGTTTGTACGCCCACAGACTGAGGGACAGTAAATAAGGTCCAGCTGACAACAGCCATAATCGTAAGGCTGTAAGATCAACTCCCCACAATAACATAGATTAGATGATCTTATGTTGATAGCAGGAAATAAACTCTCTGAACGTTTGGGAAAGAGAGAGTTCACCAGTAATTACTCCTGAAGGTTTAAATGTCTGTCCATCCCTCTACTGGCACTAATCTAATCAGCTACTGAGCCTCCTCCCAGAACACCCAAGCCTGGTGTGGCCAAATACTTCATCTGGCTCTTTTGGATTTGGAAGAGGAGCAGCTCGACTCTGAGCCCCTCACCAAGATCCTCACCCTCTCCTTAAGGCTGAACCCAGGATTGCCCTCATCTCATTATTTTGGTCATTACCCAAAGCTCCTGATCATAGGTGAGGGTATGAATGTAGATGGACCAGCAACACCTTTGCTTTCACATTTGGCTCTTTCTGAATGTGAGTGTGTCACCACAATACAACAGACCAGTTCAGAGTGCACTGTCACTCCTGCTCTCCTTACTTAAATCGTTGAGCACTCCGCCCTGCTCTAAGGACCGTGGTCTTGCACTTGTAGCTAATTTTCAGCCAAGCTGCTTCGATTTCAGCTGCAAACTCTGAGAAGAAAAATTCGGCAAATAAAAATGATGAACAGAAAGAATAAATCTGATTTATTACCAACAATGTGGACCAAGCTCTAGCAACACTTGTACAGAGCCTGGATAAGCCCAATACAACGTATTCCCCTGCAATTCCCCACAGGATACCCAGAGGGATGCGGTTGAATGCCTTCTCCAAACCCACAAAGCACATGTCAACTAGTTCGGCAAACTCCCATGAAACCTCGAATATCCATGCGAGGAGGAAGAGTTGGTCCAGCATTCCACAACCACAATGAAAAGACAGACTCACACCTCCAGTACCCTGGCACAGGCCTCCCCAAAGCCTGAGGAGAGTGAATGTTGCAGAGGCATGTCAACCAAGACAGTCCTACAACATGACCTGAAAAAGAAAAGATTTAAAAACCTATTTGTGGGACGAGCAAACGCAAATCAGTGCAGTCAGACATGCCTGCAGAGAGAAAGAGCCAAAGAAGGAAGCACAAACCGGGGAAAGAGAAGGTGCAAACTTAGTAACATCCAGCAGCTGCAAGTGAATGCGTGGTGATAAAAGAGAGAAAATGCTCTACTGTGGCATAACGAAGGTCACATGAGAATAACAAGCTTCTAAACTTTTACTTTTTACCGAGGGTTTTCTCCACACTAACCTGGACACTGACATGCTTTCTTAGTCCAGGACTGAAAACTGGCCCAGAGTTATTAAAAGACTCTTTACAACACTGTCTGTGGACTTCAGCTGATGTGTTCGTTTTCTAACCTCCCGGTCCTTTCCATTCTCACAGGCACACTGGCATTTTGCCGAAGAGGAAAGAGATTTCCTGCTGGTACAGGAAGTGATCCGAGTGGCCCGTTCTTTACGAGCACAGTGCGGCATAACCAAAGCAAAACCTGACAGTAAGTCAGCACAAGAAGGCATAAGCATTATCACACCGACTCTTCCACTGGCAAATGCTTGAAAGCAAATATAGCAACAAAGTTACGTTTTATTACTATGCAAAAGTCTTGAGTCACCTGTGATTTCTTCACTCTTTGCCAGGAAAATGGGTGCAGCGTTTTTTTTCTTTTTAATATTGCACAAACTCTGACTTTATGGAGACACAGCACAGAAGTTAAAGGTTTGCAGATATTTAACAAAAATCGCTGCACCCATTTCCCGTTTTCCCATAGGACCAGCTTTATTCTTCACAGCCTGAGCTCTCTGAGACAGCTCTCCTTAAAAGTATCTTCAGGAATAGTTCTCCAGGCTTCTTGGAGGACATTCAGAATTTTTCCTTGGATATTTCTGCCTCTTGTTCTGTTATCTGTCAGGATGATCCCACACTGCTTTGGGATCTGAGGAGGCTAGACACGCACCTCTACCTGATGTGCTCTGAACAATTCAATGATTTGAACCAAAAGTTTCAGATTTGGATTTCTCTCCATCACACACGTTTTGATCATCAGTGCGCGTCTTGCATAATTTTCATGCCTCGGTTTGTTTTTTCTCGGCTTCATTAAGAACGGCTTCTTGACAGCTGCACTTCCACTGGGACCATTTCTGACAGTAGATGAACCAGTAAATAGCTGATTGTTCAGGTTTTGTTTCAGCTCTTTGCTAGTGCAGTATGTTTTGCATACTAATATGTGCCAAATTTTTAACTTAGTTTTTTTGGAATAGTCTTGTTTGTGTAAAAATAGCATTTAATGCTTGTCGAACTGGTATCTTTGGTATTTTTCTTGGTATTCAAAAATGGGAACAAACTGTGTTTTTAACAAAGTGCCAAAGGCTTCACTTAAAATAGTTTCTTTGCTAAGTTGCCTGTTGTGTGTAGACACAACACTGGTCAGGTCAGAGGTTCAACAAACCAACATAAAACATTCCTTTGAAAACGGTCAGGTATGAGCACTGGCCTGAATATGTGTAACAAAGTAGCCAAAACTCTGAAAGCTCCTTGAGAGCCACACTCAGCTGTGGCAGAACCTTTTATTCTTTAAGAAAAGAACAAAAATGATTTCGTGCTTTAATTTCCTTAAATCTCGATGGTTTCAGTGTGGGCAGTGTGTTCGCCCAGCCAGGCCGAGGTCCTCCTTCGCTTCGGGTCAGCGATTAGGACTTTAAGCCGAATCTCCGACCTTCACATCTGCTGTTCTGACAGAGGCAGTATCCCCCCGTCTGTACACTCCACTTCTCCACCCAAAACAAGCCTCGCTGGTGTGGTGGACCACACATGTCAGCTACATCTTCACGTTCAAGTATGTATCGGGCTTCTTCTGCATGAAGCAATGAACTTCATTGTTAATGAATTAACTTTGTGTGTTGGACTGACTGACAGTTTAGTCTTTCAGCATTGGGATTATCATCTGACATACTGCGAATGAAATTATTTACTCTAGGATATGAACCCAATCTGTAATGCACAGGGTTTAATAAGTAAGGAGCAGTCAGGTTACGCTAACAACTTGATTGGTTGGTCATCGCCAAGTGTGCAGTTTTGGCAGTTTGCTGGCACGAACACCATGAGCCAAGGAGATAAACATCTTGTGTGAATAGGCACATGATCAGTAGTGGCTCAACTACCCTCTTACACAGTACAGATTATATTATTAATATCTGGGAGCCGCCACCTTTGGCCTTAGAGCTGAAGAAGCTTCTCAGACGACAGGTGAAACGTCTTCAAGAAACTTAGAGAAGTCCAGTCGTTTTTCTCTCCAAGCTTCTTAGATCATCAGCAGCGCTTTCAGGTGAAGCCACTGAAGACCACGAGCTCCTCTGTACACCGACAAGTCAGAGCTGAGGGCATCTGTCCCACAGCCAAAACTGGAGTCGTGCATCGGGACAATGTACCCAAACACAGTCAAGGTGCTGCAATATCCCAGTCACGGTGTGGACCTGAACTCCATTGACATGCTGTGGCCTTATGAGAGTCGTGTATAAATAAAAGCACATAATCAACGAATATTAAATGTCATGTGACCTTTGCTTAAGCAAATCTAATAACTCTTCAGAGAAGCACACATTGTTCACGTCATGGTTGCACTGTGATGAGAATCCCATCCTGTTCCTGTTGGATGTTTTTGCAGTGGTGATGAGGATGCTGGTCATGTCTAACGTACTGTGTTGTGTCTCTCAGAGTGGAATGAACATTGAGAAACAGATCGTGCAGCTCTCTCAGCGCAGAGACAGGCTCGTCCCAAAGCTGGATCAAATCCTTGCCAGAGTCCAGTCTCCAAGCTACCTCACCAAGGTTCCTTCTCATGTCCGGGAGCAGATGGACAGTAAGGTGAAGGAGACCTGCAGCAGCTTTGTTTGTAACTGCTTCACTGTATCTGAGTCAGCTTCATGTTTTGGAGAGAGAGAATCAAAGCTCAGGGAATGGCACTGCTGTTATCGCTCCCTAACCAACAGATGGTTGTAGAGTGGTGCACTGAGCATTTCAAAGACTGATACTGAGATTTTGCTGATAAATAAAAATTACAATTTAAAATAGGAGATTATATGAAACCTCGTACATATACGTACATTCTTCCACTCAAACACCTCGAATCCTGCTGTGGCAGAATGAGGAGCCACACTCCAGCTTTGCACATTCTGGTGCTTTTTATTTGTTGCTGTTCAGCTGCCCTGCATACACCTCCACCCTCCTGTCCCAGCACCGTCCTTAAAGGGGAGGCGTGGTTTGGTGTTGGAGATCAGGTGCGTATGACACCACACTATGAACCCACTGCTCCACCTGCCCCCTGCAGCTGAGC